TTGCATTTCCCACATCGCTGTTGAAATTCAAAGTAGCTTCACTTCATACAAAATAAATTACACTTGGAATCATCAGATTGATTGCATACCTTTTGATATCGAGGATATCTCCAGTTGCGGAGACGCGGTGAGGGCGAAGCTCGTTAGTGCTGCGATCGCCCGCAATCCGCTTCGAGCCTTTCAGTTTTTCACCCGACCCCTCCCACCACTTTACATATCCGTTCTTATTTCGATTCCGTTGCGTGCTACAGAGCGCAGGCGCAAATGCGATTTTGCTGCTATCAGCTGCATTTAACAACGTCTATGTCAGAAGTAATTGCTAAATTGCCGACGGACGAGACGCGCGCGACGTGCGCTTAGCGTGCAGTTATGAATAACTCAATTTACGACTGCCCGTTTAGATTTAAATGCACAATTAACTATCTCAGTTGTAATGGAATTAAGCTCTCGGAAATACAAGGGTGCTCGCTTTTGAAAATTGTAGAGACACTCGCTTGTATTTGAAGGGGATAATTACGCCCCTTTATCTACGTGCACTACAACACGTCGGTGGTGGGACCCAGCGGTGGTCATGCTCCCGCGCCTGCAATCCATCAGTTGGCGCGGCACTTAGCGAGCTCGCCGCAAACACACTTCCGCCCCATTGCGCTACTCTGACTTATTTCAAGCAAAAACTACTGATGGCGATAGGCATTTCAAGCTTTGTTCCGTCGAATAAAAGCCCTTGTCGTACGCACTGGTGCTTGAAATATTTTTGCGTAGCATTGCGAGGGCTGAAAATCGTTACTAATCAGCGCGTGTCGGATTTTCAAATGGAAATTGTTTAAAAGCCAGTAGTAGTAGATGTAATACGAAAAGGGAAAAATGAAGTTATCCACATTCTTTGTGCGAAAATGTTGGCTCGGCTTGCAGGCGACAGTTATTCATAGCAAACCTCTGTGTGTGGTAGGGTTCGGGAGAGGGGGTTGCAGGACACGAAATGACGAGCTCGTGTGCGCGCATATATCGAGTGAAGGGGCGCTGCGTAACGTCGCCAGCGCCCGCGTCTACGTATCACGAGACTCAGCACGTGATGCGTACCTACACGATGCTCTCGTTAATATAAACGCATGCCGCATTTTGAAATTCGAGTATCCTGCGTTGTGCCCCAAAGTTTAACATTCAAACAACGTTTAATATTCTTCATAAAATGTGACTAGTTCTAAAATTACGTGTGTAATACCCAGACATCTTGAAGGTTTGCATTACGGTAGCAGTCTTTGTCTACTAAGCCTTTATCACTTTTGCCGTCTCTTTTTTTGGAATTTTTCGCAAATTGTTGCGCAACGCCGCAACACAACACGTCAATTGCGAGCCCAGCTCCCGCACCCCCTTTGCGGCGGCCATCAGCCGTGGTTTTGATACATAAGCATATTTTAATTATTATTATTTGTCCACGTTTAGGGATATATTTCCATCTTTCACTCACCAACACTTTACAATGATCTAATAATGTAAATACACAAAAGAATAAGTCCTGGCCAACGTAACAACGCTCGGGCGTAACTGCTGAAGTTACAAGTATGAAATATTTGACTACGGAACCTACTTTACAATGATCATCGAAAAAGAAAGGATTTTTCCACGTTCATTCCGCAAGGGGATGAAAGGACCTAAACCCTGTTGTGTGGAAATTCCAATAAGAAATGTACAAAAGCATGTCTCATTGTTTTTTGAAAATCCACGTTAAAGATTGTGAACAGGGGATGGAACACTAAGCGAACAAGTGTGGTATCATAAGAAAAGGGTTTCTTTACTACACTGTGTACTTTTAAAATTTTATTCTTCTCCATTTTTTATTTACAGTTCATAAGCTGACACATCTAAAATAATAGAAACCGGTGGAATAGTCCTTTAGACAGGGTCCAACAGAAGGTCCTGGAGAGTTAGTATGAAATAGTAAATTTTAAACTTTTATCTAGGGTGCTGCGAGAGACCATTGAAATTAAAAAACATCCCAATTTCAATAGGGAAGATGGCTTCCCCTTGCCACCAGTTTGGGATCCAATATTTCCTCTGATGAAAAATCCCAAGCATACATAAGACTGCAGTACTATTTAGTATGTTTAATTAGTTCTACCCCGCTGGCCCAATGCGGGTTGGGGACTTGACACGTTTCCCGAGGGCTGTGAACCTTCTTCGACGTGCAGGTCTCATCACGAAAAGCTCATAACAAATTTCAAAGTAAATTTCCCACATAAATTCAAAATAATATGGAACATGCTTCAGAAATAATTGATAGGTATTATTCATTGTGTTTTAGTAGTAAAGTAGAATTCGACCGTCATCGGAAGTAATCTAGCCGTCGCGATCGTCGCGATCGTCGCGGTCGTCGCGGTCGTCGCGGTCAGCCACCGCACGGCACGACGAGTAGAACAAAAGTATAGAGGGCCTAGAGCCGTGACCACAGCGCACATGCTCTACAACAACAAGTGTTGTTCTTGGATTTAGTTGCAGCCCACCGCCGCAAGCCTGCTAACGTCTCACGTGTGCGCCCAACGTACTTATAGTTCAACACTCGGAATGGCTAAGCAAAGGCAAGGAAAAACTCGACGAGTTTCAACGTAGCCGATGTCAAGTAAGCAAATACTGATTTACTACTTACGTTCGCTAATTTATTTAGTTTGTTTCAGCGTATTCCGCCCACACTTCACATTCGTTCAACATTTCAACGTCAATTTTGCTTGACCTAGGCCGTGCCGCAGGCTGTTAATCAAAAAGTATGTCAAATATCAAATGTGACCAAGGGACCTGCAAAGGTCCCGAAACGTAGGTTTGTTCGAAAAAAAAATACACGTGATGTAGCTCCGAAAACAATAGTTTCTTTTCCAACATGCAGCAATCGCGAAAACCCAATAGCAATAACTCGCAAAATAAAAACCGGCTAGTGAATTGGTCTTCACCGTTACATCTACACCTTACCGGAACTGCAAGTCGAGCTCTTCGTACTCACCTGACTTAGTGCCTACCGATTTTTCTGCCATTTAGATTATTACATTTCCCTGCCGCAAAGAAATGAATGAGCTTTTAGCAAAATTACAGACGTGTCTTGACAGCACGGGCACCCACATATTTTGATTTCATAAATGTTGTTTCCAAATACTTTCTGTTTGTCTGAATTCAACTACATGGAACGGCAAAATCATGCTGAAAAGTTTACAGTGTAAACCGTATTATTTATTTGCAAACTTTACAGAATTCCACTTTGATTTACAATATTCAATTATACCCATAGCTAATAACGAAGTTTGTCAGATTAAAATTGATTTTTAAAGTTACGTATAATAAAATTAAGTGTTAAAATAAAAGTGTTTTGCGTAATCTGCAGAAAACGAACCCGTACTCAAGGAGCGCATACGCCTCACACAAATTTTGGAGGCACACAGGCCAATGCGAGCCGTCAACCCGGGGCAATCCAACATAAAGTTAATTACCTACGTCGAAGAGAAACATGTCCTCGTGTGACAAGGTGAAAAATGTCGAGTCGGTCAGCGTGGTAGTTCAATCCACTTGCGAAACAACGCTGCACAGATTCCAACCGAGCTTAGAGAGTCGCGTAAGACGAAAAGCATAGTGGCGGCGCATTCCTACACACTCGGGATATAAGCGAAATACAGCTTAAAAGGTCAAGGCTCGAATGAATTACGAAGTCGAAATGCGACGTGTACACGAGCATTATAGTTCAGCATTCAGTCAAGCCTTTCACGTAGACTGGTCACATTGTAGCGTTAGAGTACACACTTCGTTCGGTATTAACGGTAAACGGAAAATTCTCACAGGTAAATATTCTTTGCTCATAATCAGCGGGCGTCGGGCGCAGGCGACGCAGTCGGGGAGCTAAATAAATCATGCGCATTAAAATTTTAATCGCGCCCGCTTTTCGTTACGCACGCACTCTATTCATGCTAATTGCATTGAGACTGGCATGTCTGTCAAAGATTACTGTGTACTAAAGGCTTCCTTTTACATTGACGCGCTCTGAAGTTGCACAATGTAAGTACGAACCTTCGTTTCGTACTTAGCATCCACTACCAGGCAAGGGTTAACAGGCCCAGATGCCGAGGGTATAGGTCACTCCAATATGTCACTGAAAACTATTTTTAATTCAAAGTGCAAATTGACCAATAGCGTGTTATAATTCATTACTTACCCACCATTCTTTTACATCGGATCGGGAAGTCGCCGTAAAGAAATGTGCATATATAACGGAAAGTATTGTTCAAAATGTTCAGTTTTAGAAAATGTTCGTTTAAACCTTCGCCTAAGAGAAGACCAGTGCAAGTAATCAGTCGCATATAATGTAATAAATCAGTGTTATAAGCTTAATCAGTTTTGGTGCCAGCAACAGGTTCGGGCATAGAGACCTAAAAGGCCCAACGGTGCATTATTGTTGCACAATAATATGATTTGGACTGAAAGCAGCACTTTAACGAAAGTGTGGTTCATTTCCACATTTTAAAAACCATTTCACATTATGGAATCCAGACAACAATACAGCACCGAGTGTTGTTTGTAGGAATACTAACGGATTTTTTGGTCATATTTAAACGTAATACAAAATTCATTATTTAATTGAACTAATTATTATGAATATCAGATTGTCAAATAGAATTCGTAATCTTATTCTACATGATAATTATGAAGGTGCAAGTATTTTCTGGTGCGCTGCGCGCGAACCGACACCGCCATCTATGTAGCATAATTGTTACTACAAGCAATGGAAAAACGGTGAAGGGAACGTATCGATCACTACGCACGAAGTTCTCAAAACATGCGATAGGTGGCACGATGACTTCAAATTTCTTATGCACCAATAAGACTTTTCGTATTTAAATATACAATCAAGAAATACGTTTAAAGGAAGATAAAATTTAAAAATGTAATAAATTAAATGTAAAAAACGCAATGATAAATGTGGCCGCCTTATCAGAATCCGAACCGGCACTGAAGTGTGTACTGACCTGTACGGCGTCATCGAGGCAGCGTCCCCACGCGTCGCTTCGGTCCACGAGAGCGTTCCATTTGTCGGCCAGCTTGGCCACCTCGCGCCGAATGGACCTGGCCAATTCGCGAGCTTGCTCCTCCGCCGAGCGGTACCCGCGCGAGTCGCCTTCTTGCAGGGCCACTGTTACAAAAAAAGCCACTGTCAGCCACTTGCATAAATGTATGAAGAAATAATGCGCATCAAGACGAGCACTAGGAACTAGAATCAAAAAATATTAGTTACAGGTGATTTGGTGATAATACATGGTCGACACTTATTTCAATATCAAATTACATCAAACCAAAAGCACATAAGAAATCTTGATTCCTCTGGTCGGCGGTTAGCCGAAACTGTTCCTTACTATCTTACTATACATGGTTTTAGCACGTAGGTAAAGCTATTTTAAAAGGCGCCAACCATTCCGCCGAACTGTATATAGTGCCGAAGAATTTCGGGTTGCCAGCCAGTATGTATCTGGGTTACATGAGTCGAACTTTTGTAAAAAAAGGCGGGAATTTAATTTGTGTCGGCCGATGAATAATTGTGTTATGAACTCTACAAACGGCCACGCCTTGTGCGAAAAAACTAAATTCTTTTACAGATACATATTGAACATAGTTTCAATGTCATTTGGAAATTCCAAATCCAGTTAGAATTAAACGTTATAGCACCAACATTTCTTCCCGGCAAAAAATGTCCTATCAAATCCAGTTAGAATTAACCGTTAGCACCAACATTTCTTCCCGGCAAAAAATGTCCTATATATGAACACGTTTTTTTTCGAGCGAAAAAATTTTGTCAAACTAAAATATTTTTACAAAAACTAGACTGAATATAAAAATCTCGTATATTTGGACGTTTTCAGAAATATATATTTTAAAAAACACAATGGAAAAATTGAAATATTAAATATTTATAAAACTGCCATTTTGGGCTTCGTTAAGCAATATCGGGGTACTAAGGCCCGCGCAAGAAATACTCATTTTGAGACAAATAACAGATTTACAAAATATCACAAGAATATTATTTAATTTTTAGAAAAGTATGGCCTTAGGTTTTATTAAAATAAAGGTGTAAAAAAAAATTGTTTATTTAACGGTAAAACGGAAAATAGGAAACTAAAAATAAAATATAATATTCCTGGGTCACTCCACAGCTCTATCCACATAAAATTATACCAAAAAGCAAATCAAATCGTTCATATTTATTGCTGCAACCGAATTATCCTCGGACTAAATAAAGGTCCAATTCTTATTGACGTTATCTTAGTCTAAAATTTAAATTGTATATGTTTGATAAACACTTTGATGGTATGATTTTCTAAATATCATTAAAAGTAATTTTTTTTAACTAGTACATTACTAACCAAATGGCGGAGCGCGCAGCCCGAAACGACTTTGCCAGCTGGTTGAATATATAACGCCTGAACTGTGTGTACGAATTAGACTATTACGACTAATATTTTTTAATACCGAGTCTTGTTTCCGGCTGGACCTTATATACCTCAACTACCTTAATTGTTTAAGAATTATTTTATAATAACCAGCAACATGTACAACAACAACAGCAAAAAAGTTACTTTAGCAACCAACAATCTCTTCCAGATCTATTATAGAACTGAAATATTCCGTAAACGTAGTTTTTGAAGCCTTTTACATATGTATTATGTAGACCATACAACGGTTTGATAAAAGTGACACGTAAACACGGAGTAATAACGTTTATTCGACACCATTGCACGACACAAACAGTAAAAAGTAAAACTAAAGATTGTACAAACAACTTTATAACGAATATTTTGCTGAAAAATAAAGACATGTGCCACATATTTCGAGCGCCATACTAGGATAGTCCATGCTCCAACGCTCTACTCGTGAAGGAATTTCATCGAGTCACGAACGAACGTAGCCCGCGTGCTTCACTATATTGACGATGTTTTTCAACCTGTTTATCAACGTTGGGACGCTTTAAACACGCGGTATTTCCAATATGGGATTCCCTTCATCGCGGCGAGCGGCGCTGATGGAAATATCAGCGGAATGGCTTTCGTTAGCGGTTGACCTATATGGCCCATACCAGTATGCTGATGTTCTGAACAAAAAACTCATTGTTATCTATTTGAAAAAAAAAGCACCACTTCTTCGTTGCAATTCGGAATATTGAAAAGCTACGAACTACGTGCCTGTCAATATCTGCGCCACCTGAACACAACAACAAATATTTCGCAGCCAGTGAAGCTACCATTTTAATTAAGAATTACCCAGCAAACCTCTTAATCAAGCGGATCCAAAGGATCTACACAGAAGCCCATCTGGTTTAATTAAAATGGGTATGCAGAGTTTGGCACATTTTCTGATGGTCGGACTTTTTAGCGTGTTACTTAAAGCGAATCTTCTTGATTGACCTTTTTGATTATTGTTTGTACACGTGTTGTTGAAAACGTGACCCGAGCTCGCTTCGGTTCGCTTTTTTCATTACCTTTAGTCCTTTAAGAGTCGGCGACGCTCTGGGCTCACAGGGAATGAAATGGAACAAAATGGAGGCGCTGCTGCCACTTTCAGTCGCGCCGGCGCAGTTTATGGTTTACCAGCAGACATCAGGGTTGACAGCGGCCAATGGTAATGTAATGGTAATGGTAACGAGAACGAAGTTTGTTTTCCAAAGTCACCGCGCCGCCGCTGGTCTCGGGGAGTCATCCCAGTGCCAAATTTACGAGCTGGGTGACGTGCGAGCGGACATTTACGCCTGGATCCCGTTTATGTTAGCTTTTGGGCGATAAACTTATTTCTCCTTTAAAAACTACTAACATAAAATTAGACTTTGTTACGATGAAAGCGTCGTATGGCGTATGCCTACTTTATTGTGTTCCCTTTTAAACAGGCTCTGAAGTGGTAATTATCATGAAAATATTTTGGTGAATATACCTTGATAACTCTCTTCCCGTTTAACGTATGTTAGTTGGAATGAGAAAATGTTACGCTACCAATGTTATGTCATGTGGCAATCGTCAATTTAAAAAAAATCACAATTATAATTGTTTTCCCAATGGTTTTTCACCTTAATTACTTAGTTGTGTCATTGTTTGTTCTTTCTTTACGATTTTTGTTTGAATCGAGGAAAGCTGCTCACTGCATTCCTGCCATTTAATTTGCAGCATTATTGTGCTGTAAAGTGTATTGAATACACGTACAGCGAGCGGCAATCAAGCACCCTCCCCGCCCGTCTACGCCCAACGGCTTGTATACGCACCAGCCGATCGGAGGGCGCTTTGAGCACCCGCTTTGATCGGTATTTGCAATTAATGCAGCAGCAGCGTGCGCTGGCATACGCCTGTAATTGCGCCCCGCGCACAGGCTTCATTCGAGAAATAGCTATTCAACATCTCTCGACGCTAAAAGTGCGCTTATTTACAGCATCGCAAATTATCATTCCTCCGTCGGTAATATGTCGTCGCTGTGCAGGACGTCAGCACGTTATTATATAGCGCGTTATTTTTGCGGCAAAAATTGTTTGGAGAATGAGTCTTCACATTTTTTTGCCACATCAGCGTCACACTATCTTAAGTTAAAACGCACGCAAAGCAGTTATTGTGAGAATTGTGGTTGATACCACGTAGGTATGACTGTACTTGCGGTGTTCAGAATCGGAGCAAAAGGGCACCACGCCGCGCACGTTGCAACGACATTCACGATTGCGATGCTAAAAATATATCGTTGCGCAAGAAATTCTGTACGCACGGCGGACTTTTTAATTAGCCGGCTCGTCTTTTCAGGGCGTGACTCCATGAAAATACCAAATAGAGATATTCCGAATCCCATTAGGTATTTGACAATTTTCCGCAGAAACCAAGCGTACCAATAGAACTCCTGGAGCATTTCCGTAGGCAACAAACGTCTAACATACCAGAATCGTGAACGAGAACGGTAGAGCTAAATCGTGTGGTAACTTTATGAAATTTTCATTACCCACTAGTGCCACATGTTGTGCTAAAAATTAATTCGAAGACTAACTGAAGCTGACGCTTAATGGATGGTAGTAAAAATTGGCAATCAATGGAAGTCCTGTCGTCAAGTGCCTATATTGAGTTTCCGTAACGCTGGCGCCATGCGGACACGTTCTTTAGACAACCCACGTTTGTTAAGGGTTGTGAATCTACTTCGACCGTCGTCAATCTCTCAATTGGGAAGCAATCGTTCTCCCACTGGGACGTCGTAGGTCGGATTTTACCAGGTTGTAATTTCAATCGACAGTGATAACATTAATATATTAAATACAGATAAAATATAGATAAAATAGATAAATATATCTAAATAGACACCGCAAGTACCACGATCTGCATGAAAACCCAGCGTGCCTCATTTTTTGTATCTCCAGTGACGTCACAAGCTCTATTTAGTGATGGGAAACCCCCCTTCGGCGCTAGAGTGATTGATCAAATCGAAGACGCAGTATTTAGCACGCATTTAGAATAACGATTTTTCAAGTATTTCTTGATTATAAGAAGCTGTGAAATATGAGTATAGTAAAATAATACCCGAATAACATAATTAAGTCCTTTATACGTGTTTTGAAAAAAAGTTGCTCCGGAAACTTAAAATAGAAAAACTTTTAGAATGTTTTTATAACATTTTCTAGGATCTGAAGATTTATCATCCCTCGATCGAGAACTGTGTTGCATCAAGTAAACTTTCGCTAATCGTACAATATGACTAAAAACATGACGAAGCGGCCGTACGACGAAACGGATGCTTTCTGGCCTAATAAAGAAGGACCACAAGTGTAATAATAATAATAATAATAATAATAATAACGCACACACTCAACATAGCCCCGCACTAGGGAAACCCTGTGTCGCGGGTGCCATGGACACACACATAGACAACCACAAATTACACCCAAACTCACGAGAGAAATAAATGTAGGTCATACAAATATTTCTCCCGGCCCGGGAATCGAACCTGGGACCTCTGCGTGGCAGTCCGGCGTGGTAACCGTTCGGCCACGGAGGCAGTTTCACCAAGTGAAAGTGTATATCACCAAGTAAAAGTAAACAAAATAATTTATTATTTTAAAATAAATTTTTCATATTCTGATAACAAAATTACATAACCGTGGAAGGAGACGTCCTTGTTTATTTATCTTCTCTCAGCTGTGGTAGTTTTGCAGTTTCTAATGGCACAATTAAGCATTTTTCGCGGTTTCGATTGATGTTTAACTACGATAACGGCCGGGCGCGTTCTGTAGCGTAGCAGCAGCAACTAAGCGTTTATAGTTTACATTAGCCACGCGAAGTAGGTACACTTGCCTCATGTATTTAGACATATGTCTGTGATATTAAAATACTTGTTTTAGTAAACCAGCGTTCACGTTGTTTCATAGTAGATGAGTGAGGCGAATGAAGTTACAAGTGAGTGCGAGCACAGGCAATAGAAAATTAAAGCGAACAGCGATCCTTAAGCGAGGCGCGCGTTCCTGTTCACGGACCCGTTTAATAGCGGTCCCTTTTCAGACATTCAAATGATACACTCGGAGACGTGGACACCTACTGTAGGCGACAGAGTGGTGACCCTCGAAGAGTAGGGACAGGGAGCAAGTTCGCATCCGAATCGGTTTAGGTGTTCTGACCTACAGAAAGCACAGAGACCAATAATTGGTGTGACTGCCTGGGTAACTTATTATTGTAGTTTATTATTGGCGCACTCAACCCCGTTCGTAGCGCGTCCTTTGTGGAAAGCGGAACGGCGCCGAAGCAGTTATCCACAAACGGCGTGGAGGATGTTTTAATTAAGAAAATGCTTCAACAACAGGGGCATATATGCGACACATTTATCGATTTCGTGGCAATTGGCAACAAATAAGCTGTTTCAGGAAAATGATAATTTTATAATATACTAACACCGAACATGTGTTACCATGAAGAGACCAGGGTCCACCGGTGGGACTTAGGTATAGTCGCGTTGATGATGATGATAATGAAGCTCGATTTGTTTATTTTAGAGTTAGAGATACTACGCTGTGACGCACTACATTGGATCTTGTTGTGTCTCGCAATACAATATAAATACTACGTATCGTTGTACTTTTTATTATTATGACCCACAAACTCTGTTCGACAACTGTTTGTCCTACAAGCAACTTTAAAAAAAAAACAGCCTCAAAAGTTCGTGGAAATAGATGTAAATGTAAATCCATTTGCCAAGTTTGTCGGATTCATCTCCTAGTTTGCCACCCTTAGAAGTGGAATATTATCTTCAAATTTACATGGGACATATATTGAGATATCCTCATTCCAATAAAAAAAAGAATAATGAAAATCGGTTCACAAACGCCAGAGTAATCGCGTAACGTACCTCCTTCTCAATATGTTTAGCGTAGCACTCAATTACTCCATTCGATCCCGTGTCGTTGGCCAATCATTTATTCGCCATGTATAGACGGTATGTTAAAAGTCAAATCGTGGCTTAGGAATAGAACTTATGGTGATACAGTGAGTTCGCTACAAGTTATTTCATAATTATATGACTTTATGTAATAACTATTGATTTATATTATATAATTACTGATACCGTTTTATTGTTAAATAAATGTCGCAAATCTGTTTTAGGCTTTAATATAAAGTATGCACAAACAAGTTGCCTAAAATACACGTACCCATTTACTTAGTTTAGGCATCGCAACTACACTATTGGAGTGTTAAGATTTAATCCTTTACATTTGTTTGGCTTGTATTAGATTGAGTTATAATAAATATATTATTAACATATTTAACATGTACACCTATATCAGACATAGATATATTTCGTAGGTATTAGTGCAAGGCAACACTCACACTCGGTGTCAGACGTATCGGAGAGAGGCGGCTCGCTGGCGATGTACTGGCGGCCGCTGAGCAGGTTGCTCTCCACCACGGGGCGTTTGTCCTCCAGCTGACGGCGGAAGGCGCGATGGTCGTCCTGCAACATCATACACTATAGCACATTGACGTTAATTCAGTTAGCCTGTCAAATATGTGACGGATTCCAATCACAAAATGATTCAATTCATTACCGGATATGGTTGTTGCAATAAGTAAAATTGTTGCTGCAATAATTGTACTCGACGATAGGCTAAAGGAAACAAGTTGCGTATATAATTTCCTTAAACAACATGTTGATTATTTCAATCGCATTGTTTTTAGTAACCAAGGAGGGTTCCCTTTTAATACGTTCACGGTCCATCATAAGACCTTGGAGGATCTGTGACGGCATGAATGAAGTGAATGCTCAGAATCAATATACCTAATACATCGTTTAGAGTGAAGGAACACGTCATCCTTTGGGAAACGTGTCAAGTCTGGGGAGTGCGGGCAAATGTTCTCGTTACACGAGCGAGTCCCGTTCTCAGCAGCGACTTTTGATTGGTTACCTACTTTTGATACGGCTATACCTTACAATGGACACGATAATGGCAAATTGTTACCCAAGCAAGATAAAATCGTCTCATAAGCCCATCTAAAGTGCAAAAGAACCAAAGCGATAAATTCCAGCTACCTATTCGATTCCCATAAGGTATAATGAGTTATTTCGCCAAGTACAAAGCGACTACCCTTTGGCTAAATTGTCAGAATTTCGAAGCGTCTATGCGGAATTTCAAGGAAAACCTTTTAAAACGATGATCCACATAAATTTTAAGTGTACCATATAAATTATGGGTTGGGATCATAAAATATTACACTCTATCGGGTCTCATGTAGCCGCACGCCATTATTTTTGATTTTCCACTCTTTCCGTGGGAATTTATCGCGACCAATGAGCCAAGGAGTAAAATATCGTGTGTTTTACACTCTCTCATTCGGGAAACCGCAACTCTCGATGCAAGCTCTGCTCGCTACCACTTCTGCCACTTTAAATTCCACAATTTAAAACAAGCACAAGACAGTTCAACTATTCCGCTAGGAATTACCGCAATTAAATAATCACTAAACCGGATCTTTACTTTGATCAGCGAAATCAACATTAGCTTATGCGGTCGCTTCCAAGTCGGCCGATGTTGCTTTGTAGATTTAATCCGTGATTAATGCCTCGTTGCTTCAACTCGGAATTTAAATAAAAATGTTTGAGAACGGTTGGAGTCCAGCGACGAGCCGGAGACAAGTAGCGTTCATTAATTTCGCCCCACATGCACTCCAAAACGCAGCCGCCATTTTGCAGTGCAGCATGACTCGAAATGGCACTGCTCGATTGTTGCCAGCATTATTCTAAGGGTCAAGATATACCGATAAGGCCGATAACTTCATTCCAACAATATTGTCCGCGACTGTTAGGGCTTATCTCCAATAGGCGGGGATGGGAACGCACATAAGAGAAACAGTTGCAACAGCCCTGATGACACAGCAACAATGGCGTTTGATTACGCGTGGCAGCGTTGACGAGCGGAATTTACTTGCGGGTCGCGTTCAAATTATTTATCGCCAAGCCAACTCACTCACCAGTGCATTTCACTCTGCTGTTGCTGGAAAACCGCGTATTAATTTGTCAACACCTAGATCACTTGAATAGAAGTAAAAAATCAAATACACAACGTGACCATTATTTTTTCCCTCAGAGCGGGACGTTAGTAAATTTATTATTGTTCTAAAAATAAATGTTTATGACAGTTATTAAATGTTTAATGATTAATTATTTTCTAATTGAACTAAATATGTTTAATGATCAAAACTAAAAAAAAGCTAATCATGAGTGATTTGATGGGCTAGCTTTATGTATTTTTAGGGATGTGAGGTTTAGATTTTAAATCTATTCGACGGCAGCTGCCTCCAACCGCTCATCACCGCCAAAAACAATGCACGCGCAGTACGAAGACACAATCAATAGAGCCCGGCGACAAGGTTTATTTGAGGCTTCGATTTCGCGCCATTATATTAAATTTATTGTCACGTGTGTCCGGTTTTGTCAAAGCGGGATTGTCCCGCTCAAATCGGAACGTTACGTTAAGTATGTACACAGTTTTTTTTACTGGACAGTATGGGGAAATCCGAAACCATAGGATACAGAGAAACTGTCTTAGGAACCATTCCATCTGTTTTTGTGAAAACAATTTTGGCAAAGTCAATTTCCATAAAAATGAACAACATGGATAATTTTTTTGTATTCATCCATTTTGTATATATTGCAATTGCTCAATTTTATTCATCTTGTATGAAAAACATTTTATTAAATTCGACCAACTTCTGCGGTCCCAATTTTTTCTCCCAATACAATGAAATGATCCTTACATTAAGCTGAGTCGATCATCAGTAAGAACAAATATTTTTATGGGCAACTCACGCTTGATCAAAAAATTTACTATACCAAAATTGATTTCACAAAAAAACTTAACGGTTCCTAAGACACTATTCCTGGATCTCCCCTACTGTCCCAATTAAAAAAATGCACTATACTACATAACATACAATAAATAACAAATGTGCCATGAACATTACAATCTTATAGGTATTACTAAAAGTCTTCTTATCTTATCTTATGATTATGAATACAAAGATGGAACTAACAGAAAAAATGCAAGACCATGCTATTTGAGCCACGACAATAGCAATGCTACGGCAATGGTACGATGCAGCACGGTCGTCGGTTCAAGTCCCAGCGGGAATCATAACAAAACTAGTGGAGTTGTTACACAAAAAATGTTAATAAATAGTCTTCATCTTGTTAAATTATTTCATCTTTGCAATACTCGTATGTACCGTAAAAGTCAAAACGACCTCTAAACTAAGCAAACTTGGATGTGCTGCACTCTTTGGTCACCGCCGAATGTCAGCTTCGGGTGGCATTGCGCGCAACCCGACAAATGCTGTGTAGATACCAATTCGGACCTCAGTGTCCAGTAATTAAGTGAGGTAAAATAAAAATTCTTTGTGTCTATTTATCCGTTGAGGAGTAGTCTGAACTCAGCAGGAAATGTGGAGGCGGAAACGCTGACCTGTTGCTTTAGCAGAACGGGCAAGTCGCCGCGCGCCGGTGCCAGCGCGTTCAGTTCCGTCTCCTTGCGGATGACCCACTCCGTGAGCTCGCGCAGCGACAGCAGCAGCGCCGACCAGTGTTCTGCGTTGCTTTCCAGGCGGTTTCTGAAGCAAATTTCAAATACGTGTTACTAAAAACTTGGTCCTTGCTACGAAGTACTAAAAAATTCCGTTCGTATTTTCGTTCGAACGGGCAGTACCAACTCTTTTGCGAAAAATCGATCGATCCGTTCCCTCACTCTGTAACACATATTTGTACAGACCAAATATAGTAGATTGTACAAGTGCATAAAACGCGTCATTTTACCCTAGACGAGTATATCTTGGTGGATACTCAAAACGAGGGCAAAATGGGTCTTATGAACGAGTTATACGCTCTGCTTTTCACTTCGATTGCGAGTAAATTAAACAGCTATATTACAAATAAACGATTATTTAGTGTAAATTGAATGTAAAATTACAACAATTAGACGTGTAACACGGATTAAACAATAAAAGTAAAACTTTATTTTAGAAAGTTCTAGTGTGCGTGGCTGTTGGCGCAAGCGTCAATGCCTCGGCGATCTTAAACGACGATTTTATTTTATGCACTAGAGCATAAAATCCTATTTTATGCAGCCTACACATAGCATAAATACGAACTTTAAGAGCATGAGAAGTGAAAAAATGTTTTTAATTCAAATGGTATGTTAGCATGGGGAAATTAGGGATTACGAGCCATAAAAGCCAGTGCTATAAAAGAGGGCCCGACGCGTCGCGACGGAGATGGTAATTCAAAAACTTGGCTGGTATTAAGCCGCGCGTAATAAGTACAATTGTTGAAATTTTGGCCGCGGCTCAGATCCCTAATATATTTAAGCCTTGACTTCGACTTCGAGTGCGGGCCGTCGCACAAAAGCTAACAGGTCGATACGCTTTGACACGGAATATTTATTTGTGCCTTATAGGGAGGTTTATCTGATGTAGTTTTGTTGGGGAGCCAAGTATCAATTCATATCACCTAACCAATGAACTTGATTTTTATTGGACAACCGAAAGTATTATCAATTCCGAACAAAGTAACTAAAATAAATTAATAATTGTAAGAGATGTACCAACACAAAGACAAATTAAAATAATTTATATTTGAGTTCATCGCAGTACTTTTTTATAATGAACCCAACTGCAACAGAAGCAATTCCAATTCCATTAACGAAGCCACAACCTCCGGACCGAAAGCATCTAAGAAGTTTATTCGGTTTTACGGTCATATATTTAGACTCTACGACTGTAGCACTATCTATCTGAATAAAGTAGAACGTCGCAACAGCATTTATCGATAATAAATAACAATAACGAGACCGTCACTAGCGGCGACTCCATAAATCTGGCGTTTGAGACAATCGCTTGGAATTTTACACTAGCTCCACTATACTCCAACATCGCCCTTGGCACCTTGAACTTAAGGACTATAACCATGTTTGTATTCTTCGCACAAGAGTAACTCCCGAGTGGAACAACGCTCTTCTTCTCTTTTTATAAGAGTAATTTAAATCATATAAAGTCTCCGAGGTTGGCTGGTACATTAATTTGGTATGAAATTTAGTTGTGGCTTGTTCCAAGTTCGTAGCAAAACAATCACTGGTGTAGTAGATGTAGGGTCACATTTAGATTGTAAATTTATATTTTATTCTCGGGCATTGCATTCTGTGCATCAACGACTAAAAAAAAAGCAAATAACAACTCCTCAAAGCGAACAGCGTTGCTTTTTCTAACACGAAGACAAATGAGTGAGTGAGAATATTGAAATTATTTTATCTAGTGACTCCAGATCGTGTTGTCTGTGTGGTAAACATGGCTGAAATTATGATGATGCGGACAAAGATACAGAGGCACAAACCCGACGATGGACGAAATAAAGGCTGACATAAATAAAGAGGTAGAGTGCAAATTGGGGTGCGCGGGCGGGGAGCGGGGGTGTTGCGGGTTTGGACTGTGTATATATATGGGCAAACCCGTCAAAGCGCGGCCCGCTTAGTGAGCCCACCTGAACACAACCGCAGCGAGTGAAATGTTCAACGGGGGTCTGAACTTGTTACAAACGTATAGATATACAACCGCGGATCATGTTCGGGGATATGTACCTAAGCCTGGATTTAAGTCAATTCAGCTGGACGAGGCGCTTACCGAAGGGAGCTCTCCGTGGACGTACGGATTGCCGAAAGTATTCATAGTATCCATTTGATAAGAAAACGGGTTGTAAATGAATGTCTCAATAAAGCAAAATAAATAGAACGCCCGAAATGGCTAACGTTCAAGACCAGAGCGCCGGTTTACACCCGCGCCTTGTAGCGACATAAACGCACGGCGCTTGTTTTATATTGCTCGAAATCACTAAACAGCGCTTTACGGCGTCGCGTATGTAGATCATCGTTTACGGGCCGCCCCGCGCGCAGTGGGGCCCCGAGCCGCACGTGCCGCATTAGCCAAGTTGCAAAAGCAACAATGTGGCTGAAAGCTGCGGTGCACCGACGCTAGCGGTCGTATTCACATAAAGTTTCTCCGCAGTTAAGGTTCCATTCAATAAGCAAACGTGTTGCCTCCGCCCGACGGCTGATTTCACCAAAGGAGTGTCCAAGGCGAATATCCATAATTTGATGCGCCAACGCGGCGGTTTCGGCCCGTCGTTTATTGATTTTAATTTACATTAGTCTTTCTTTAATCGCTCCTTCCGTGGCCATAGATGACAACTTTTTATGTGCAATTGAAGAGGAATCAAATACACTTTACGTCTGCGCAGAATATCTCTTATCAGCTGCAAAAAGATCTTGGCTGCACCGTCATTGTAAAACTTTTATCGCCGCTATCACTTGTAAAGTGAGCAATAAAATCGCTTTTATGTGGTCGACTGTACTTATCATAGTGGGGGGCTTCTGCATTTATCGCTTTTTCTGTTTCTTGTATCTTGTGATTTAAATCTCTTATAGAGGTATACGACCGAAACATAAAAAGCTTACAATTCGAATCGAAGAGCAAACTAAGTTGAGAACAGTATAATTTGTATACCAACCACTGCAGACTGCAGCAGCCATAATTTGCAATGCATCGACAACGTGTACAGGGCCTGCAATCGGGCGACGCGCGTTTGTATGTAATGGATCTAGTAGGAGACTTTTAGGCGACGTGAAAGTGAGTTGCAGTGTCGTGGTTTTGTGGGCTGGGAGTCGATCACTGCGCGATCAAAGGTACGATAAAAGCAGCTTGGAAGCAGTAATTTGGAAAGGAGACTTCGTTGAGCAGTTTCGTACCAGAAAGTGGAATAGGCGACAGACACTAGAACATAGTTTCCCAAAGTGGTTCCTGCCCCAAAATTGACGCTGAAGAGTCCTAGTCTAGGGGGAGGTAAGGGCCTCAGAAGCAATTGGGGGGCGTTGATGCTGTCCAGGGGGTGCTACCGCATTTGAAAAATAAACCTGAAATATCTATGTATACAAACTATTACTACCAATATATTTTTCACTTCACTAGCTCGGAAAGGCTTTATTTCTTATTAGAAATTTGCGCGCAAAAAGATTTGAAATTCGAAAAAGAAGGTATATTTTATTCTTATTATTGTTGACTTTGTTTATAAAATTATTTGAATTCGTTGAAGAACTAAAATAATTTTAATAATCACATAAAATTATAAGACATACAAACAAAACTAAACATTTTCTTTTGATTAAAAAAATTTCGCCATAAGTACCCTACTTACATCAACTATTTATCAAGTATTAATCCGCTGGTATAATGTATTCTTATTATTACTGACTATAAATTGTCAACGATAACACTAATATTGTTTTATTACATTATTTTAATTTGTCGATGAACTAAAATAATTTCGTTAATCGCATAAAATTATAATTGTATATGTGGTGTAAATTCAGAACGCACCCAAAATTAAACTTTTTTTTTTTAAATTTTCCTTCATTCATTTCAGTACTTTGGATTGGATTGTACTGTAATGAATTGAAAAGAAACAAAACAAGAGCTAGTCTCAGTCTAGTGGTGATGAAAAAACCTGATTTGTTATAGTTCAACTGTTGTTTTTTTTCATCTACCATTTTCCTCGCTATAGTGAGGTGAAAAGTTGTGTGTTTAGCTCGGCAGCAAAGTTGTTTTGCGTCTCGTGTCTTGAAACCCTCGCTACGCTCAGGAATCTATTTTTGGACGACTCCCTTCGCTTGCTCAGGTTTCAGTACAAGCACTCGCGTCAAACAACAACTTTGCAGCCTTGCGAAAGAACAAATTATATTTATTCCTTGGATTTTTTTTGTTAAGTAAATATAAAAAATACGTGTTTTTTTGATTATTTTTGGCTCGCCGCCCACTTAGGCAAAACAAAAAATTTTAACACCCACCACCACAAAAAAATATTGAAAACATGTATTTTTTACGTTAACTAAACACAAAAAATCACAAGGAAATAAAACATATATTCTAGTGTAGTTTATACGTAGATCATTCAAGATTTCTTTTCACATGTGGTAGTTCTTTTCACTCCCTGGACAGCATCAACGCCACCCAATTGCTGTCGAGGCCTCCACAGCCCATCTAATAATAATAATAATAACATCCAAGGAGTCAAGAGCTCAAAGAAGAGCCCACATAGGGGTACATAGCTACTTGTAGCACACAAGCTCTTACCCAATTAGAAAAGTGCAATGAAATAGTGTAAACAATCCACGTGTCCTTGTTTATTTTCAAATCAACACATCTGCGTTAAGGAAATGACCTTTAAAATGATGATTTGATAAAACAAGCGAGGCGGGGCAGAAGCGGGAATAAGTTGATGAATCAATCGGAGGAGGGTCGGAGTGACTGGCGAAACTGAGTGCGACGTCCCTCTCAATTTTTTCGCAGTTCAAATTCAAACGTTTCGGAGATTTATGATGTATCGTTAACTTGGATGATTAATTCAGTAAGTCGGCAGGGCCCGCCGCACTCGTCGTGGCCCGGAAGCAGCCGCGGAACAGTGAACGGATTTCTGTTTTTGCTTAGGTATTTATATTAAGCAAATCGAGCGGGTTTTGAAAATAGTTAAATATCCATCGAATGCACTTTCGTGCGAAGCTGATATACAACACGCTAGTATCCGATTTCCGCCTACTTAAAGGCTCTATATACGTAATTATCAGCAAATAAATCGGGTGCCCCGCGCCCCGCACACCGCGCGCGCGCCCCGCGCCATAGGGGACGCGCTTACGACGCTATTAACGATCACTGCGACAGCACAAATCGAATTTGGTTCAATCCGTCGACACCCAATTGACTCTCATTCATTTATCGAACACCAATCAAAGGTTTTGTTCATTCCTGTTCGCGGAAGTAACACCAAATCTGACAAAACTCTAATATAATGCAAAACACAAGTGACATCTTTTGATATTTACATAAATAATAACATAATACATGTCACTTGTGCTGTTCGAATGTTCAGTAACCCTGAACATTCAGTTCTTAAGCATTAATTGGAACGTATCAACAGCACGAAGATGTGCAATGTATCGACATATCATTAAAAAGAGAAGACTAACGACATCCGTTTCCTTAATTATTCGGTGTAACCCTTTTAACCAAGGACGATACAAAAAAATAATATTATTTGCTTACACCCTAATATTGTGCAAGTGTTTATCGCAATTACTTTATGAAATCGGCACAAAAATAATCACAGGAGCTCAGGTCAAGTCTGTTTGGTGGTTAATTAAAAAAAACAGTGTACGAGTCGGCAGCCATAAAACACGCGCCTCATAAAATTTATTTCCCTTTTTTGTTACAGTGTTTCTTTTAAACGATGAAAAAGATGTTTTGCATTTATTATTTCAGCTAAATTCCTTTGGAGACCTTAAAATTACAGTTACGGAGATTTTTCGACTATTAATCTCCTTGAGGGTCTGCACCCCTCCAGTGGTCCAGCAAGGAGTCCTGTTTGCTGTCAAAGTCATAATGGTGAACCTGTTTCATTTTCAACGACTATTCCTTTATGAGGCTTTATGGGTTTTGATTAGACCCCCGAGCCTCGACTTTCGTCACCATTGCGGATGCAGCCGCGAATTATTACGAGTAATCTAATGACCAAATTCTATTCTCCATCGGGTAGTGTGGTCAACATTGTTATTACTGCTCACAGAAAATTCGATTATATTATGCGTAGATGGTGTCATTGCAGAGAACACATTGTACATCTAGATGCTTACAACGGCATTAATGCAACTTAATTGATGCGTGTCCGCACACGTGGCACACATTATCAATAGGCGCCGTTTAATACTCGATAGTAGCTGTAGAGGTCCTTGTGAACGAGTTCGTCCAGGCAAGTACTGCCACCTCACCTATTTCTGCCGCCAAGCAGTACTGTGACCATTACTGTGTTCGGGTTTTGAAGGGTAAGAGTGCACTTGTCAACTTATGTCTCAGCGTGATGGGCGCAGTGGTACTGCAACTGTTATGGACAGGCGTGTAGCCTACCGTCAGGCGCACGACTTGTTCGCCCCGTCACATGTTATTATAAAAAAAGAACTTGAAATCGTCACACTGATTACAACCTACTCCTCATTTTTTGCTCGCTCTTGCTCTTTGTAAACAAACATTTGAAACAAATATCGTAAATGATAAATGTGTATCATTTATCAACACACACAACTAAGTGATCATACCATATCACTTGCCGTTCAATAGTTACTCAAAACTATATAAATGTAGAGCCAGGCCCCAAAGTGCCCTTGCTACTTGCCTAAACATGCCGAGTGCCGACTGAGTTTTAAGAGAGGCGCTAATATTTAATGGTGCGCACCTGAGGCCGACCTCCGACCGCCGACTTTCACAAAATCCGTTTACATCCTTCATAATACATTTCCTACGCCGCAAAGTACAATCGTCGGAATAGTTCTTACACACTGTTTAACATGATTGCACATTTACTTCGGGTTATCTAGAGCAGAAGATTGTCAACGTTTCCGGTTAATTATGTTGATATAGAGAGATCGAACGTCTCTATAGTTTAACTTTGAAGTGAGTTACACCTAAGGCTCTTTTAGTTGACAGCTGTGAGTTGGATTTGTGCCTCTCACTGGCCAACTCCCAACTTGGCACTGGGCGGCGACAATCTCTGTGCGAGTGTCGTGCGCGTGACAACAAATCGTTACTTGCGTTTCTCTGGGCAAAGCAAAATAGGCGGAACGGTTCCGGGATCATAAAGAAAATTCTACTTTCTTTCAGACTACGTACACCTCGCCTAGTTTCCGAAACCGATACAATTTTTGCCATATACGTGTATTCATAGGCGGTACTGCAAAATCCTGTGTCGTGGTGAGCTATGAATAACGGATAATGGCCCACGCATCGCCGGGTCAATACGGTTAATTTTTTAAGTCACGTGTGCAGCGCGCGAATCTTTCACCAGTAATTAATTATATTCCTAACTAGCTGTTGCCCACGACTTCGTCTGAGTACAATTGTATTGTTGCTACTAAAACACAAATGTAAAGAGCACGTTCATCTATAGACTTGATTTTTTTTAAATACTTCGTGTCCCTAACTAATTTCTATTTAGGAGTTCTTTGAAAAACCCTGAAACACGTATAATGAGCACCGGAAAGGTAAAACGTCTAACAGGCATTTGGAAAATATTACAAGAGAACGATTTAATTTTAAAGTACTTTTTGAAATAAAACAAATAAAGTTATCATTTTTTTTCCAATGCACGTTAAACGGTTTACCTTTCCAGGGTCGTAATTATTTATATTGTATTTATAGTAAGTATCCAAACCAAGTTTAAAGCAAATCACACGACGCGTTAAAAAGTTCCAATACATACTTTCAATACCCTATTTCGTCCATATTTTTTTACATTTTTATAGAATATTTATATAAAGTTTTATTTTTGTAATTCCAAGAAATTAGATTTTACATACAAATAGTTGTAAAACTATTTTAACCGTTTTCACCCTCTTAGGGGTCGATTTTCAAAAAAATACTCATGGATTTTGCTGTGCGACCATTTACCCAAACCATTTACCGACATTTATTGCTACGAACCCTACTCCTATATTCTGTATATACATACCAAATTAACAACATTGGAAACACTTAGGCATTTTGTAAAGCACTCAAAGCGCCAGTATAATTTCAATGCCTTTACCCCGTAGAGTCCAGATCGTTTACAATTGAATTTCCTACTCGTATCTTGTACAGCTCACCCTGCCTCACCGACCACCGGTGCCCGGGGCTGTGACGCCAATCCACTGCCGGTAAGTCGATTACGCCCGCGCCGCTACGGTTGCTTTAATTGCTCTTCATGTGCCATTAATTCATATAACTTCGTGCAAATCGGCAGGTGCGTCGCGGCCCTCTCCGCAAGGACAGAGAAATCCGATTGCATCGAATGTGTTTAGGATTCGAACGGGATGTACTCAATTTAGTGTCCGACGTGAAGGAATTATACACTTGTGGGAAAATAGGCAACGTGAGAGGACATAACATAGGACAATGAATAACTTGCTGTCATAAATAGAGCTTGGAGTTCTCTTCTGCTGGCGGCATCAAACCGGAGAATCGTCAAATAATCACAGCAGTCACTCGTAATCTGCGGTTCTTTCTATAAACAAATAATAAATCTTTCCGTCCCGCACGACAGCCGAAATTGAATTGATTTCGCAAACAAGAATTAATTAAGAAGTGTCAGCCGATAAACGAGCTCGGAACCAAGTTCTCAACTTTGCCATTATGGCAAATAGAAGGCCTTTTAGAATTTTGGTCTCCCCTAAGAAAGGGGCGGCAATATTGTTGAGCCTTTAAAAGTCGAACAATTATCTTTTCTAGCGTAGTCCTTGTGCAAATTATGCAATGTGTCTCGGGTCAAGTCAACGCTAGAAAGATCGTCTCAATGGAAACTGAAACTCGACAAACCTTATAGCCATGCTTTTGTCCTTGAGGTGGTGCCAACGCTGATTCATCTCATCGAGGCGGCTCTGCAGCATGACGGCATCTTCCTGCGAGGACAGCGAGCTCAGCAGTCGGCGGCCCGTGCCAGTGAGCGACGCGTACACGTCGCGGTGGGTTTCGATCTCCGATTGCAAATCCTGCAGACAAACAATACACCTGTAATCAATACACAACTCATACTAAATAGAGACAACTAGTTCAGAGCGCAGTATTTACAATTAAAACATCAAACCAACAATGGTACAATTTGCAGTACTGCCATACCGGATGATTTCGCAAACAGGCTTTCTTTCGGTCACGTTCGTCTAATGGAATCAAAATCTATCCAATTCCAATGGATAAACACGCGAAACAATAACTGAAATATGCTGCGAGCAATAAATCTTCTGCGCCGAGAGGGTGCACTATTCACTCTGTATAAATCGCCGTCAAAGGACAAAGTGCGCGCACAATTCACGTTGGGGTTAGCGTAGCGAGCGGTAGATGTTTTGTTTGGTCGTCGTAAGAGGCCAATTTATCGGGCTCCGCGGCCACAGAACAAATTCCCGGCGCGCTCTTGCCGCATGGCGGCCACCACAGCCGCCGTGACGCCGCTGCCTGCCGCAACTCTCAATGGATGACTCCCATCAAACTTGTTAGTCTTAACAAGACTGCATCGCGATTCAATAGCCTAGTTATAGTTAGATCTATCTAATCGTTTAGTCTAATACTAAGATAGTACTTATGCATTTTACGTACGTGTGAAATCGATTAAAGTGTAGTATGAGCAAAAACGCTCAAAGATCAACCCTGCATAAAATTCTTTAAACAAAATAGAAGCCAAGCGTTAGTGTCATATGTCACGGAGACGCGTAGAGCTATCGTTTCAAGAAGGCACCTTCGCGACAGCGCGTTTAAAATGTGAAGAATTCTCATCTGCCCGTCGCCTTCGTGCTCTGTCTCGAGAACGACGACGACGTCCTACTTTTCGTTGCTTTTTCCTGCTGAGATGTTTTCCAAACATGGTACTAAAATGGCACCGGTCCGTTTGTGAATTGTGAACATAAGTGCTCTGTAATTTTATTTCATAATTTAATTGTTTTTTTCGTGTTATTCTTGTAAAAACCCATTTTATTACTTTTACCATTTAATTTATTATAAGTGTATATACAGTGATTTTAACACGTTTATTAAGTGAAAAAAGTGAAGTGAAATAATGTCCGTGGTTGCAAAGCAGATTAACAATAAAGTTGATTTGTACATAATTCTACTTATCAGTAATTATCGGGGTTAGACATATTTACGAGCATTATTCAAGTCACTTTGGAGAAATAACCTTTACGAATTGTTTTAAAATTAAGTATACTATTACGTAAATAGTTAAGTTTATAATTTCTGAGTGGTTATTTAATCTAATCATTAGCTTTGTATGAATAAAATTGTAAAAATATAACCTCATAGTTAGTATCTTATCGCTCGCTCAGCTTTCTTGTTAACGTTCTTTTCAATTTTTTTTTATTTTCTAAAGCATGAAGCATAAGCTCCATCTCACTTTGATAGAACTCAAAACAGCGAAGGCAACGAATGAGCAGTTACTACCAGAAAGCAATATTGGTAATGAAACAAAATAATGGACATTTTAGAAAAGAATAGGCAGTTCAAAACTGATACAGCAGAATTGCTCGTCCGAATTACGGAGATACAGCACCAAAAATCCAGGTACAGCAGCAGCTAGTGATGAAAGAGACACAGTCTTTTAGGGCCTTTTAAAAAACCTCGACTAATTTTTACCGCCTAACGACTAGTCTAGTCTTTTAACCATCAAGTTTTGAGTCATAAGACTAAAACTGGAGACTAATTCGAGTCGAAGTCTTTGAACCCTAGGAAGCATAAAAGACTTGTAGGACTAAAACGACCAAAACGACTGGCGCCTTATAGCGAGTCATGAGCCGTATGGTGTGATTTTATTTCTACCCACAAGATATTTATTTTGCGATTGATGGATAACGTTAACGTAGATTTGTTCACGGAAGTCAGTTAAATATAACCAATTCAAGTTATTTGTTTTTTGGGAATTACTTGTTTCTTTAATATAAAAATGAATGGATACAGAACCCAACAGTCAAAGTATTTTATCAAATATTAGTGTCTGATACTGTCGTGTGACCATAATGATAAATGAAACATACTATTTATGAACGTATTATGTGGAGGTCCACAGTCTGTGCCTACCCCTGAATAGGTGACAAGCGAGATTTTTATGTACATATTATTTGTTCTATGTATTACAGTACGGTTTCTAAAGAAGTTTAAACAAAAGTACCAGGACTTCATAATAAGAAAAGTGGTTACAGACCAATATTACACAAAATAAAAAAAGGGCACGTTAGAACTGGATTTCCATAGACTTCATTCAAATCATATTGGTTGTATTTCATTATTTTAACTTAAAGTAGTAAAGTAAAGTAAAGTATTGTATGCAATCATTATATAATTAGATCTTAAAATCTCGCACCTGTTGCTTAAATCACTCTTTGAATCCTAATTTTTACTATAAGTTAATAAACGTGATTATTTACTACATACTACGTCATTTTTATTTATAAACGTCGGGTTTAATGAGACTAATATAGGTATAAGTCCATTGCAAACAACTCGAGTCGTTTAAGTCTTTTAGTATAACGACTGAGTCTTATTAATAAAAACTCGAACCTCCAGTCTTAATTTTAGAGTCGAGTCCTGTAAAATGGAGTCGAGTCGTTATAAAACGCCTGAAAAATTGACGTGACTCTCTTTCATCGCTAGCAGCAGCAGCAGCACATGTGAAGAGGCCCTTGCGTTACAATGCATCTTTATATCACTAGAATGTGTCCTACGCACCGTATATAATCAAACAACAATGACGGAACAAGCAAAAGACGATCAACAGTCAACACATTTGCTGTCCCTTTATGGTGAGGTGGTCAGCAGTGGCAGTGACCCGTTCAGCTTTTACTGTTCAGTTCAGTCACGATCTACGATGGTTGAAATAGCCATTGTAAATGACAAATGTATATAAATGTATATTTACCAAGTTCAACCCCTAGAGGTTCTTACTCATTCTCACTTCACTCTCTCTCTCTCTCTCTCTCTCTCTCACTTCTCAGGGGAATCTGCCTTACGAATGAGCGGTAGAATTTATTAAGTATGACGCTGTCAAGTGTAATTTGCCTACCTATGAAATGAAGATTATTTTGAGTTTTGAGTAGTCGTAAATGTTTTTATTCACCTTTACACTAGCATTGTTCATTATAATATGGATTTTATAAATTCCCGGCGCAAAGATGCACAAAAAAGCATTCCGCCACAGCGGAATGTCAAAGGGACATGTTAACGAGCGTCAACGTCGGCCCCTATTGTGGCTTATTTATCGACAGCTGACCCAGGTCCTTGTCAGCGATCCCCTTCGCGGAAATTAAATTAAATTCTCACAAATCCTCATGGTAGGCCTCACAGTTTATATATGGGGGTGGCATTTTTTACCGGTAAAACGTAGGGGTTCGGCAAACGTGGACAAATGCCTGAATATCTATCAGACCTTTGCTTTGGCGATTTGTAAAGTGAACTCAGGGATATTCTTATTTATATGCATAGTACTCATCGTGTATTTTCTTCGTGCAGGTGCGTCGGTTCAGTCGACAGTCGAAGACACCCCAATCCCATATAAATAATAAAAGAATCCCAATCCCAGCCCAAGAAATTTAGACGCATGCAAGCTAGCCGAACATTATATTTTTTAATAAAGCAAAATATTATAAATGCCATTAATCCGCGTGCTGGCCATCAAATGCGGATGTTTTTGCAAAGCCAGTAGGTAATTAAGATAAGGTGTGGTGGGCGACGTGCGTGCAAAGCAGACAACAAATAAATAAATAATAATAATAATAAAAATTGTGCAATCCACCCGACCACAGAGGTGGTCGATCGTTGACAAAGAGCTATAAAGCGAATTATTTGCGCAAGCCCGGGCCAGTCACAGCTTTTTTTAACGCTGGGAAATGCGTTGCGCATACAACTCGCCTCGGGGAACAGCCAGCGGTTATGTGGGGGTTCCCAAGCGGTAGCCCCTGTATACCACAAAAACCCTGCGGTTAACTCCACCGTCAAAGTGATGCGCATACTACATGGACGTCTCGGCGAATGGCTCACGGGGAGGGGGGGCCCGCCTGTAGCCCGAGGTGTAAGGGCATCCTCAAGCTTGGTGGTAAGGGTCCCCCGACCCCAGAAGGCCAGTCACTGTGAGGTAACCTCTAATACCAAGCATGGAACGTTCTATTAATGGATGGCGTTTTGTTTCTGGCAGAGATTTCACGTCTAGGTACATTTTGGCTATTTTTATCAATCAAAAATTTACTTATTACCTATGTAAGTTATTAGCTGGCCGGAATTCCTTCTAAATTCATTCACCTATATTAAAAAGAGCAAATAACTTTATCGACTTTCGAGTTTGAAGTGGGGCATCCCTTGGCGTGTCGACAACTCGACACCCGACAGTGAGGCGGCGCAATATTGATGTTGTTTGCTCTGCGTATCGGCCAGACCTTAATAACATTACGCTTCACGCCCTTTCAGCCGCCACCGCACCACCGACCCGCCACCCCGCACCCACACCCTTAGTCCTGGCACATACCAGCAAAAATACCGAATGTGCAGGAAATATATACAGACAAGCTTTCAAAAGCATTTTTCAAAGCAAAAGCATGTGCGCCAATCTTCGCTACTTTCGCAAATTTAATAGAAGCAACTATGATCGCCAATTTAATAATCTCAGTACAGAGTACTAAAAGACCGACCTCAAGTACGTGGAATTACATATAATTACCAAGTTTTATTGAAATCAGTTACCGGTTTACTATTTCGCCACTACACGGGTCTTGACACAGGAGATAATAGAAATTGGTACTCACTACTCAAAGTATATTGAGAGTGAAAAGCGCCTTGAATTGGAGAATAGCAAAATCAACCAATAAAATAATTGAAATAAAAATGAAACTTCGTGCGTGACCAGCCACCCTTCGAGGTGGATGATTTTCTTCAAAATGAAATGGGACCACAATGGAAGTACCCTCTTTCCAACAAAAAGAATCATGAAAATCGGTTCACAAATACCGGAGTTATC